AATATTCTATTGTCTTTTCGGCTCGAGTATTTACCAATTAACTCCTCAAACTCACTCTTTACTAGATGGATACAGAATGAAGAACAAAGTTGTTTTTTTCTAAATTAATTTCAGGCAATACATAACCTTATCAATGAAACTTCTAAACCATTCGAGGCAGATATGTTGTTGCTTTTAACATGGGTTTCAAATATCGTGTTCAGACATCCGTATTATTTCAACATGTTTAATATTTATTTCGAAATGCAGCATAGGTTTATGTGGAGGACAAATGGAAAGATAATTGCTTGCGTTGTAGTATGAATTCCGGATATATCTAATTTTGATGATGGCCAAATTTTGCGTTCGTTTTCAGTTCTAATGCCAAACCTATTTTCAGAACTAGTCGCGAAAAGTGTAGGGGGGAAGCAAAAAGGTTCGGCTGGGACGTAGTCAGCAACAAAAACCACCGGAAGAAACGTTATCACAATTTATTTTAGAGTGTGTAGGTACATCAACAAGAGACAACCCTGAAAGGAGATATAAATTTAGCATACCTAGCAGTACCCAACCACCAAGCAAGCAGTCAAACTAATAATGATTGTCTATAACATACCTGCAGGTAAGGAGTAGCAAATATCTGCGTACGTTATCACCGAAAGCACGGGTGTCACATTGAGTTCACCGTCAACTTCAAATCTGTTTCTGTCTGTTCAAAATATGTTTTTCCGTTAATCAGCTGTCGCCTCCATACGAACGACAACTCTCAGAAGCTGAGAAACTTGTGCAAGCTATGAACGAACGAGGTCTTACCTCCAAACGTGTGATTGTTAACACGAGAAATGTCTCCCGAATAACCACGAATACTTCTCTCTCGAAGCTGCGCTATGCGTGACCACTTCGATAAGGCCTGCAGTGCTGTGCCTCAACCAAAGGTACCGGTACTCAAGGATATTGTCACATCTGCCCCCCTTTCAAATGTCCAAGACTGTCGTTTTTGGAAACAGTGCTCGAGAACATAGGAAGAATTTTTTTTTTGACAAATATGAAATGTGTCTCTTTCCATCTCAGAGTCGCAATGGGCTAGTACGTATGTCTTAGAACTCAAAACTTTCTTGATTTTGTAGGGTCACTCGAATATCAAAATGAGTTTGTTGGTCTCGTGAAGGACCGCGGACGAAGTTGGGTTAGCCTTAAGAAGCACTAATTCACCTTGTGTGAACGGCTGGTAAGGTCTCGGAAGAAAACGAGGTGCACGTCTCTCTACCCGCTTCTGCAAATTTTCTCTGGCGAAGAATCATTTAACATGAGAGTTACAAGGTATCTGTTCACCTGTCAAAAATTCTCGGAGTGGCAAAATAGCTCGAGTCCCAAAGTGAAGTTCCACGATAGGAAATCCAGTCGTTTCATGTGTCACGTTGTTCAGAAACTTAATCACATTAGGAATCTCGAACGTCCATCGAGAATGCTGATGTTGACAATGAGTTCTCAAGATTCTTCCCAATTCTCGCATAGTCTTATCCACAGGGTTACCCTGGGGGTGCCGTCCGGATGAATAAATTACTTACAAACCATTGTCCTGTAAAGTGTTCTTCCATCTTTGCGATGTCATTTGTTTTCCTTGGTCACTCAAAATTCGAGACGCTTTACCCACCTGTACAAAATAGTGCATGGTTAGCCGATTCAACATGCTAGCAATAAAGAGTCACCAGCTTAGAGAATACGTCTACGATAACAAAGACGAAAGTCACACCACCTCTGGATTTTGGAAGGGGACCGAAAAGGTCAACCTTAATAAGGTCATTTGGCTTCTCCGCATCTGAAGCGGGTCTAGGCAATACTGTAATCTTAGCTTTTTGCCATACTTCGCAGCCTTTTATAATACGTTAAACATGAGCATGAAGATTGGGTAACCAAAAGTCTGCTTTCAAAGAGCACCAAGTTTTGTAAACTCCAAAATGGCCATAATAATCGTGATAATAATTACCGAAGTCAGTTAGTTCGGCCAAGAAACGGCATAACAAATTACTTTCCTGATTCTGGATAAATAACAGTCCCTCTCGAAGAAAGAAACGACCCGAAGAATCCTTTTGGATCGCCTCCAGCTCAGCAAATAACAGGAAATCATTACGTTAGGCTTCACTCATATCCTTCATCAAAAGTTCGAATTTTTTAGAGGCTTTACACATTGCCAGTACTCGGAAACATCCATCTTGAGGCGAAAGTGGCTTAAATGGGAGGTGCCGAGACAAGACATCAGGTAAAAAGTTTTCCTTTCCAGGAATATACTTGACTACAAACAAAAATTCTTACAGTGTAAGTACCTGACGCGTGATGCGCGGCGTTAAGACGACAGGAGTTCAAATAGGAAAGCGCTTTATGATCCGAATAAATTACGAAGTCACGGCTCAATAAATAGATGCGCCATCTTTGTAAGGCAAATAAAATCCCTAGAAGCTCTTTTTTCGGTATAGAGTACCTGCTTTCTCTGTCTAATAACAAGCGACTCTCGTAATCCAAGGTACGTTTTTTTTCCTCAATAATTTGAAATAATACGACCGCGACCGAAACGTCACTGGCATCGTTTTGTACAAAAAATCCTGTTCAAAGTCCGGATGAGAAAGAAATACTTCGCGACAGATTAACTCTTTCAACTTGTTGAACAAATTTTTTTGAAACTGTGCCCACTCCCATTAAAAGGGGCAAAAGGGGCGTGAGGGGTTCGGACACCGTAGAAAAATCTTCACAAAAAGCACGGTCGTAGTTGCGAAGACCCAAGAAAGCATGTAATTGTTTTACGTTTTGGGGTTCAGGAAAATCTCTGATGGCTTGGACTCGAGTCGAGTCTGGCCGTATACCGGTTGCATTGATTAAATACCCAAAACGTTCATTTCTTTCTTGAAGAAACAACATTTTTTCAGTTTGACCGAGAAGCCAGCTTCTCGAAGTCGATAAAAAAGGGCATCTAAGTGACGAGTATGTTCTTCGAAAGAGCTGGATGTAACCAATAAATAACCTAGGTATACATGAACGAAAGATTTGAAAAATGGGCCTAAAATCTTATCCACACACATACATCCATACAAACTGGCTACAGCTTGTTTTCAAACCAGCTTGTTTCAAACCAAACAAGGCAAAACTTTGAAAATACAGCTTTTCGTGTAAAAACGAAAACCCGTATAACGGCGTTGCTCTGGTTTAGTAGTAGTATTTATTAACCATATTGAATACACTCAGTACAAATGGCAGGTCACAGAATAGGTATACTGACATAAATGAGTAAAAATATATATGTATATAAAATATAGAGATGTNGACAAAAATACTATTTAGAGAATTACTGGAAGCAGTACAATTGAAAGTAGGATTTTTTCCGAAATAGTCATCTGTTTTGTTTTTGCAGATTTTCGAAAATTGTATTGCAAAAGCATCGACCACCTCCTTTTTATCTGTTATCAAGCGATCTTCACATTTTAGACTGATTTCCTTCTTGCTATTGCATTTTTTGTTCAAATTTTCATTTATAATTTTCCATGTTTTCTTGATTTCATTTGGAGCTGAATTTATTTTATTATTGACATACTGAGATTTTGCTTTGGTTATTAATTGTCCGTATTCGCTTTTTTTCAGCAAGTATTTTTTTTTATAGCATTGCAGTTTGACACTGACATACACTAGTACAGAACTTGTAAGTAATTTTTAATTTCTGCTAATTCTGGAGTATACCATTCAATGTGTGTACACGAGTAGGTTTATCTGTTGTTACCAGTAGTTGAAAAGATTTCTAGATATTATTCAAAGTCTTCAACTCGTGGGTATTTATTTTATTGTAATGAATATTGAAATCTCCAGTTAAGATGATGTAATTGAATTTTTTACTTACTGAATTTAATGCTGAGAAAAAATGTTCTTCAAATATCCTTTATTCCCCTAATCCTGGTCTATAAACGTTTATTATTGCAATATGACAATCCCCGATTATGTAATCAACCCCACACAGTTCTATATGAGTTTCTGAAGATAGCTTTTTGATATAGGGTGTCTCGCTAGCTTTTGCACTGTTTCTTGCATATATGGCAGATCCACCATGAATATGGAGTGATCTGTAGAAGTGAGAGATTAAGTTGTAATTCGAAAGAGATGCATTCGATATCATTGTTTTGATACCAATGCTCGCAAATGCAGACTATTTCAATATTACGGCTATGGATAATACTTTCCACTTCTAGTAATTTGTTATCCAAACACTGAATGTTTACATGGAAAATATTAATATGAAAGTTGTTATCACAATGATAGGGAATTGTATGATCTAGTCTAAAAAAGAAGAATCTGCTCTATCCTCGTCACAATTCTAGTCTTCACTCAAAAATCGTCGCCCTCTCTAGAAGTCAAAACGTTCAAAAACAGTTTTCCTTGGCCAGAAAGCCGCGTCATAGATTTTTTCTCGCAGATGGGGTCAAACATCCACCATAAATGATTGTTTATCGTTTCTTGGGTTCATAACATTTAATTTTTTTATATGGATATCTTCATCGCCGGTTTTATAGGTACCTGCCAATATGCGCAGGTTAAATCTATACTAGACAATAATTGGACGTTATTGATGTTTTTCATAGTCTTCGTTTTCCATCACACTGTTCAAGTGACGCGCATCTAAACACAAACGCACCGTGCAGTCTTTTTTGACAGTTGTCATCAACGGGCTCTCGTAGGAGATAGAACACTTCTCAATGATTCCCCACTACATCATTTTCTCTATTTCCATTTGTACGGCCGCTCAAAAAACTTGAGCATGTCATTCACAAAGGTACTGTGTACAACTCAAGTGAGAAGTTGACACTTCAATTCTCAATGTTGTTTACATTTGGGATAAAATTTCGATTCTTGCACCATCTATCAACATTTATACAAAAGTGGTCATTCTCATTTCTCGCGTCAGTAGTTTTCGACAAAATAAATGCGAATCGGTTGAAACACCAGATTTTCTACGCATTTGTTGAAACGCTCCAACAATCAATCAAATGTTGACAGTTATCTGTCACAAATTGTCACAAAAACTTTCAGTTCCGAATTGAGCTTGATTCATCGCAAATTTTTTCTAATTTGCAATGTCTTTCATAGCAAAAACAGCACGAAGACTGTTTGTGAATGCGTCCCGGATTTTGGTGAATAATACTGTTCGCAGCATAAGTCATCTGGTTGTACAAAATGAAAACACAGAAGATATGATAGCTCGGTAAGTTATTGATATTTTATTATAATCATCGCTATACTTAGCGAAATCACAAAAGAGAAAAAAACAACATGTTTTTTCATTAATTTACAGTATACAGAGTATGCTAAGAATACTCTGAGTACGGTTTAGAGTACGATCATCAGTATATGATTAATTATATGAACGCAACCAGAGCAAATTATCTTATATCGACCTAGTGCTAGAGTCACCGTAAAAAAATCAATCAAATGGTGAATGCGCTCAGTCTAATTTTTACTTACGTCCGAATTGTTTAATATCAAATAGTGATTTGCGAATGATTGGTTTTCCCAAACTTATAGAACATTGGATTTGAACGATTACGAGTAGTCCCTCAAATACTTGATGCAACATTTTGTACTATTTTTTTGATATTGAAAATTAAAATCTAATTAGAACGATGATTATTTTTGTTCAAAACCATTTACAATTCTGAAAATTTTCAGTATTCTATTGGGCATCATCAGTACCGGGCAGGCAGTCCTCGATTGAAGACAAAATGTAAAAACCAGAAAAGTACTTGATAAAAATAGCTGCGTAAACACAAGCGAAACATAAGTGGAACTACCTATTGGTGTGACACCCAAGTCAACTTGACTGGTTTGACCAATCGACCGACAACTGCGGTAGCAGAAATTTGGGAAGCTAACCTGAAATGTCATCGGAAAACAAATCCACATGTTTCTAGAAATGATATTAAATCGAGAAAGGTTAATGCAGTCGAGCTGCCGGAAAATTATTCTATAAAAATCAAAATATGAATAGATAAGTACTTTTTGATAATTCCCATGTTGATTTCAATTTAAGAGCCACTGGTAGACAGCTGTTTCAGCCTATTGGGCATCGTCAGTACCGGACAGGCGGTCCTCGATTGAAGACAAAATGGGGAAAACCAAGAGAGTACTTGATAAAAATAGCTGCGTAAACGTAAGTGGAACAACCTATTGGTGTGACACCCAAGTCAACTTGACAAGTTTTCCGTTTGATTGAACGGTTTTCATTGTTGCGTATCTCTACGCTAGCTCAGTTGAATGCGTCATTAGCCTACATATATGCATCTTCTTTGAACTTCCACTTAAGCCAGTGTTTCTGGAGATAATCTCAGCTTGGGGCCATTTGATGCTATGTTGATGAGTTCGAACATGCTCTGCTATTCCAGATTTGCTGATTTCTCCTCGCTGTGTGTTTTTCTTATGCTCGGCAAAGCAACGGCCTCTTAGTTTCGCAGATATGGGATTTGCCACAGTCACAGGGTATCCGGTAATTACGCTTCGTTGAATGGTAGTCCGTGTTTGGTGGAGTGGTTTTGGTGAAGTAGCTACGGATGGTGTTTTCGGATCTGAAGTAGATTCTTATGTTGTACTTGGACCCAATTTTTTTATCTTTTCTAACAATTCTATGATGAAGGGAAGGACAAGCACTTGTTGTGACGGCTTCTCTTGCGAGGCTCTTGCTGTCTTCTAGCCAAAGTGTTGCTCCACTTCCACTTTGAAGTAACTATTCCTTTGAGATATTTTTTATGGTCCTTTTCGACACCTTCCTTCGTATTAAAGAGCTCGTAAGTATGATCCACTAAAGTCTTGATGATTCCTCATCTAGTAGATTGATGGTTGTTGGATCCGTGATTTGGATACTGCCATTAGAATCATATTAGACAATGGAAGTCCGAACGTGAAACTAATTTGAGGATTCATTCTGTAAGTACAGCTTATTAGGAGAAATTCCAACAAATGTTCTCATATTGTGACAACACTGTTCACAATTTCTCCTTCATTTCAACATCGACAGCCTTTACGTCGGATACTGAGGATGGAAAGGTATGCCTAACTTCACAGTAATTATTGGCTATACTCACGATCAGGATTTCATTCCTTTGTGGGTTATATAAATAGTTATTATATCGTATAGTTCTCATTTTTCACTTCATTTTCACATACTCATTTGGACATTTTGGGTATTATGGAAATTATATTGATTATTATTATCATTATTGTTATTACCTGAATACCAATTTTTTCCCATACACCCACAGAATCAGGACACCTTTTCGAGGTTCATTTTGCTAACCAAATTAACATCATCAAGAGACAACAAAAGTGCTCAGTTCTGGAGTATGAGAAAAGTTTTTCAATTCTATTTGAATCACTTCAGNAACTCGGCCGATAGTTGTCCAACTTTGTGATTGAATCAGAATTGTGAAGCCTATCCAACTTGTTTCTGATTATTCAGTCGGCCGACTGGAATCGCTTAGATTTGCGGACCCACATTACGATTCTATACTAATAAGCATCCAACTAAACTATCGGCCGATTAAAAGTCTGTAGTGTGCACTTGCCCTAAGAGTTCACATCCCAAATCATCTGTTTCACTATTACACTTCTCCCGACAACAGGTTTGTCGTGGAATTTTGAGAATGACATGACAGAATGGTACTCTGAAGTCATCACGAGGTCGAATCCTCTTCTCCGCATGGTACGCGTCTACGGGAGAGCTGAAATTGGTGCAAAATAGGGAACCAGAGTGGCTGATGAACTCTGTTCAGTTTTCGACAATGAACGAAGTGATCACAACTTTGTCACCGAGTTGGAACTCGTAGGGGCTGAAGTCGGAAACTGAGAAATTCACCAGGTGCAGGGTCTGCTGGGAGGCACTTGAAATCCCAATTCATTTGCTGTCGGTATTGCTCTACACACCGGAGAATATTGAATTCGCTGTGGGGAAGCTTATAATCCTACCATAGTTCGTCCCAACCATCAGAACAAGACGATTTTCGTCGTTCCGAGTGAGACAAACATCGTCTGAAAAAAATAAAGGAAAAAAGATGGAATACTGAGATTTTTTTCAAAACTCCGTAGGCTCTATCCAGACTACTCTGTTGAGGTGGTTGTTCTGATTTTCAAAGTTCATGGTGGAATGATGCTCTCTCTACTCTCGAATCTAAAGATCATGTCGAGTTGTCGCACTGAGGTAGAACTCATGGCCAGTCAAATATAGAAGGGTGTCATTCTAGGCTCATTGCATGTACACATGGCATATGATTTGATGCACCCAATGATCACTTACCTTTCGGATGTAATACCTAGCGAAAGCTATGTATGGTAATATACATTCTAACTTAAGGAAGAGCCATATTTCTTTAATTCAGAATTTTTTTAATAGCCGCATCTGTCTTATACAATGTAAAATTATAGCTGAGGGACCGAGAGTGTTTATATAAACACTATTCCTCGGCAGATATATTTGTCACGGAGCTCAGGATGAAAATATGGGCATATTAATACCCCAGCATTGAAATCGTGAGTTTTGTCAATTCGTCGAAATAAGTTTTTCTGGTGACCTCCGTCGCACGTGGGCGACTGTTACAAAGACAGTTTGAGGAAAGGGGGAACGAAGCATCCGTGATTTTTTTCTGGCTTGTTGGATGGCAAAGAAGACAGAAGGTTCGGAGGAGTCTTGCGAGAGCCACGAAGGGGGTCGGACACAAGAGCCCGTGAAGGCGGGTTCTGGGGTGTCATCCCTTAATGACATCCTTGAAGGCTGAGGATAGTGGCCTGAATAGGTGAATTGTTTTGTTATATTCCGCTCTTGTACGAAATCAAACTGCTTTTGCACAATGCTGCAGTCATCTGAATTGTTTATAAATGTGTATAGTTTAAAATCATCAGCAAAAATTGATCTATTGTGAGTCAATGAGTTGCACGGATCGTTAATTAATATCAAAAATAATAAAAGTTAAAGATCGCATACTTGTAGGACTCCTCCGTCAGTGGTAAAATACATATCTATAATAATATATATATATACTGCTTGCGACTGCTAAAATGTGATTCCAAAAGTTGGCAATAAATTTCATTAAAACCTATGCAAAAAAGTTTACTTTCAGAGAAGTCTCCATACACCACGTCGACTTACTCTCTAAGTAGTCTGAGTTCTAATAATTCACATAAATATCCATGAAAAACGGCGAAATTACGAAAATATATCGAGATAATCGATAGATTCATGCTTCTACAGCTTCAATAAAATTTTTAAAATTCATCTGGGGTTGAATATGAAGTAATATAAACAATGACTACCTGAAATGAACAGATTGACACAGTACACTTAGAAACCAAGTTGTTTCTATAAAATAAATTCTTCTAAAATGGAGAAATCAACAATTCCAAAATCGATATTATTGTAGTTGTATTATTGATATTATTTGCGGTCACTGTGCTGAATTTCATAATTATGAGGAGAGAGTTCACTACTATAAATGATATTATTTCAAACGAATTTCACACTATGTTTAGACTCTAGTTATTTTTTCATTCAGGAATCACCAATAAAACTGTAATTCAGTCTAACAGAATTTTAATGACTTCCAAAATAACTTCTGACAGTCTCTCTTTTAATATAACAACTATAAATTGAGCAAAATAATATAAAAACAAGCGACTAATTCAATAACTAGAAAATCTGAATAATAAGTTTTAACACACTTAAAAGACTTTTTCACAACTAGTGCAATTCAAACTATATATCTCGACAGTACCTACCATACATAGTTCTTGTGTTACGAATGTGATATACAGTTTCCGAGTTTTCAAATTTGTAGGAACAATAAAACTTATTTTCAATGAGAGATACCATTTAATTCAAAAACTGAAGTAATAAACAAATTTTCAAAAAACATTGTGCAAATATTTCTACAACTACGAGCTCTCACTGACTCCCTGCGTCCATTAACGACGCAGCCTGACCACTTTCTTCCAGTTTTACATGGAATCAAGTTTAGCACCAATTTCGAACCATTAAAAAATCTTGTAGTGCATGTGCTGATTGTATATACTTCAAAGTGTGCCTCCATCAGGTGAACCGTTACCTATCCTTGCGAATGGGGGCTGACTCACGTATGCCCTTAATAACACAACATACTGGAAAACTTGCCTTCGAAAAATTCTTGCAGAATTGAGTCGTCAGCATTCGGACTATAGTAACAACTCTGTCATAATTTAGGGTGTTCTTACTATTGTTACCCGAAATTGAACTGAGTTTGTGGTTGGTTCAGTTTTAGTTTTTGAGTAAAGATTTCCCTCCAGGATGAATTATTTTCAAATTGAATACTCTGATGATATTTTAGATTTGCCAATTCATTTAAATGTATATTGAGTTTGTAAAATAAATATTATACTGCTAATGGTGCTAATTCCATGGGGATTTATGTGGGTTGAAATAAACGAATGAAGAGGTTATCACAAAAACCTTACTGAACTTCTGTCTTGTTGGAGTTTTTTCCACGTATGATCAATATTAACTGGAAATGGAACTCAGGACGTGTTATAGAATATTATTAATAGCTTCACCCTTAGCGGATAGTTCGTACAGTGGTAGTGGGCTCGACTCAGAATTCAAAGATTATAGGTTTGATTATGATGCTTCCACATAGCTCGTGTAGTTTTCAACGTTAACTACCTAGAAAATGCTGATGGCTTCAGTTGTCAATGCCTTCAACACCTAAAAAATCAAGATTGCACAAAATAGCTACCAATACTGTTCCTAGTAACATTATTTGAGTTTTTCCAACCAGTGAAGTGACCTTTCCATTTGTGTTTCCAGATACGAATGCCTTTTTGGACGAGACGATGCCGACGGATGGGACGTCAGACAAGCCATGAACGACCTAACTGGGTACGACTCTGTTCCGGAACCCCGAATTATCATAGCAGCTTTGCATGCTTGCAGACGTCTCAACGATTACGCGTTGTCTGTTAGATTTTTGGAAATGGTAAAGGATAAATGCGGACAAGACGTAGACAAAATATATCCGTATATAGTTCAGGAAGTTGGAGTCACCGTCGCAGAACTCGGATGCGATTTTCCGGAGAGTTTGGGATACGACAAGCCAGAGTTGTACATGCAATCTGTTTTCGATATGTAGTTTTCTAATGAGAATTTGATGATACCGATGATTATTATATCATTAGAAATTATGCGCGGTTTGATGTTGTAAGCCATAGTCGTTGTGATTATTAAGATGGTTTTCAATGTTACTGTTTTTTATTCATTTTGCTGGTTCGCTACTTCATTGTGAGATTTTCACAACACAGTTTTAGAAAAATGCAACACATGTTTCACTATACAATAGCTTTTTCAGACATCTAGTATATATAGACACGCCTGAAGAAGCTATCGAATAGCGAAACAAGTGTTGCGTTTTTGTAATATTGTGTAGTTGAAATGTCACAATGAAGTGTTATTTGAATACGTTATGGAGTTTCATCAAGTGTCGGCCGATTCCATCACTTATCCTACTTTGTTTCTATTTTTACCATGTTTGCGAATACTAAAACTCAATGTTGAATAGTTTTCCTCAGTAGTGACCTGCGGCGCTCTTTTTGATGTCAAGTATTTAGTTCAAATTGTGAATAATTTGGCTTTCGGAAGAAATGTCCACGATCAATTCCTTCAACTACTGACAGCACGCATACAGTCCTGAGAATAATAACAAATTGAAGAAACATTAGTTCATCCAAATCGTGGAGATGAAGATCTGAGAGCTTAAACCACACATGGCGTATTGGTTACACTCAATAATGGTGAATCTCAACAAATACTAATTTGGGTTGCAATTGTTGATAAAACTGAACTATGATTCGCGGGATAAATAAAATCAAAATTAATGTGGATAAATTACTGTAGATATCATTTAGGACATTGGTAAGGAAAGATCAAAGTGTGAATTATCAATTATTCACCTATTAACTCACTATAGTTTTGAAGAAATTGCTCACCAATATGATCTTGGAAAACAATATTTTGTGAATATTGGTCCTAATACTTTCCGTGCCAAGCCAGAGGCGTTGCTACCCGTGCCAAGCCGGCACAGGTCACTAGTCATAAAAAAAGGTCAATCATACATCTGTTTGGAAAAGAAATTTGAGATTTATATAGATCGTATCGAAGGTGTTACTATCTCCGTCGTAGTTTGAAACTACAGTTCCAGGATGTAGTTCCAAACTACGACGGCCTTCAAACCCGAATGGAGATAGTAACATTGAAAATCTTGGCGCGAAAGCCTTAACCGACCGTATCGTTCAAAATTAGTACAATAGTCTTCTGGATACTCAAGAAAGGAGAAAATTTGACTCAGATATATAAAAATAAATAGTATTACATCACATTTATCTTTAACCTAGACGGCATGCTGACTTGTATGGAATAATAAAATGTTCATTCTTTCATGTTGATTACATATATGAAGCAGAACAGAACAACTGAAATTCGTGAAATTTTTTCACATGTTTAAATAAAATTGAATATCTACCAAAACCAAATTATGTTGGTTTGTCAGAAAGTTTTGTAAATAACAATTAATAGGTTAATAACAATCAATATGTTAATAACGAATTGTAAATTATATGGATAAGTTTTGAAGTGAAGGAGCAAAGTTCATCAACAATCTGGTTGAAGATAAAGCAACCAAAATCGTCCCACATTCTTTGTTGTCGAAGATGTTCCTCGAAAGGGATACTCTGAAGTCATGTTTATTCATGTGAGTACGTCACTTTATCATATTGATTGGAAATTATCAGTAAAAGAAGAGTCAGTATATCCAAGAGCAAAGAATGGATAAATTCGAAGATACAATTCACCATCATAAATATTAGTTCATTGATTTTTCCGAAAACCCACCAAATTCCAAATTATTTTGAAAAAAACATAATTTGCAAAATTGGTGGAAAATTGAGATTGAACGGAAGTCTGGTATACGTGAATGAATTGAAGATCACCAGAACTGAAAGTTAGTTTTGAAAAACAAATCATATTCAAAGTCGAATCGAATCAAGTAACTAAAAAAAAACGCCACAGCCTTACACTTCGGGAATAGTTACCCTATTTATCTAAAAATATTTTTTGTCACTTACAGTATAGCCCTGATTTAAATGTTTTGCTGTTATCACTCACACCTGCACTCACAAACTGATGCTTAAAGTTCGCGGGACCATCGTTGAATCTGCCGAGGCCTTGATGACCGCGCCATCCGGATGTTCTTTTGTCCAATTTCCGGGAAAGCATCGAATCGTTCGGGTCACTGGATGGTCATTGCTCACCGTGTGTATAGTACTATTTTGCAACTTTATAGTTTATTAGATTTTCATGTTCTATGTAGGGATTCTAAAGTGTGTTGTATGATTTTCAGGTTTGGACTCGATTCACTTGAGCCGACCTTGTAGCACTGAGGGTGGGAGCAAATGGAGCATTTATGATATACTAGTTGTTGCCCGTGGCTTTTCCCGCGTAGAATTTGGTTTGTCACATTAAGTTTCGTCACAGACCATTTTAAACAAATAATTTCCATATTTTTTACCAACCCAAAACTTCAGGTTTACAAATTCAAAACTGAAGAAATACAATGTAATCTTCAAACTCCTATTTTTTCTGTTGGGAGTGGACATTCCTGAGTTCCCTTTCTTGATGATCATTTACGCTATACAAGGAACCTACCTTCATATTTCAGATTCTAGGTTCAGAAGCTTCGGTTGTACATTAATATAAGAGTGTCAGTCAATCAATAGGTACCCACTTATACAATACTGAATAGCATCAGCAAAAAAAACGGAAAGGATTAGAATGAAATACATTGGTAATCCTACTCCTACTAATATCATAAAAGCGCACTCCTCTACCCCCGCGCATGGCCCCCCGTCGTCTTACAGTAGACGCGCCGCGTAATAGCTCACTGCGTTAATCCTTAGCTCGCACAAGTTTCGACTTCTGGGGGTTGTCGTTGGTAAGGGTGCGACAGCTGGTTAACGGAAAAACAGAACAGAAACAGATTTCATCTAAATTTGTTCAGTGCTTTAGGCGTGAAAGAGCCACAAACATACCTACATACATACATCCATCGTCACAAACATTCACATTTATAATATTAGTATACATTGAAAGGGCATATTAGGAGAGATTAATTTTTGGAAAAGAAAGTTTTTGGCCTTCTGCTTTTCCATCTTGATACAAAAAAATGCGGAAATCTTCCAAAGAAAGGAAAGAATCAATTTCAAAAAATTACCCCGATACAAAGATGCGTAGATCATGCGTAGAAGACAAACTGAAAAAAACTCTCTCGAAACAGCAATTTTCATATAAACATTGAATTACATGTATCAGATGGAGTAGTAGAAAGCCAAAAACTTTCTTTCCCAAAAAAAAATAAAAAAAATACTTTCGAAACAAATACTTTTATGTGAACGCTGAATTATACGAAAAACACTTTTCTTTATTCAGTTTGTATAGATTTCCTTTGGTTTCCTTTGAATGATGTGTACACTCGAGGATACTGAAACAATATAAGTAGATGCATGTACTGTTACATAAAATGATCTATCACTTAATCTAGAAAATGAATTAATACAGAACAATATAGAATGAAAGGCTGATCTATAAATTTACAAAAAAGTGGAAAACTTTTGGATCCCGGATTCATTTAGTTCATAGATGTTCACAACCAAATCTTTCAAAGTCACATAAAATGAGAGACTTTTATATCTACATAATAATAACAGAATGAAGACAATCCCTTATAACATCAGCCTTTTTTGTATCAAATTTAGAAATTAACATATGAGTATAGTAATATAAAACTTCAACTAGGTTAATATGAATTATGTTATCGACAAACATAACGAACTGAAAGGATTGAGAAATAATTTCAGATTTTTTACTCAACAATAAGAGTCGATTGGTATTCCCCTCTTGAAATTCTCATTAATGGATAAGAATAATAAATACTTCATGAATGTTACAATGTCAGGGCATAGGTCACAAGTATAAGAATTATTTTCATCGTGTAAATGGGAAAATCCAATATTGTTTTCAATATTTGGTAGACAAAATGGAAATAACTTAAATTTCGTTAACTAGTTCAACTAGGTTAATATGAATTATGTTATCGACAAACATAACGAACTGAAAGGATTGAGAAATAATTTCAGATTTTTTACTCAACAATAAGAGTCGAATGGTATTCCCCTCTTGAAATTCTCATTAATGGATAAGAATAATTTAATGTCAGGGCATAGGTCACAAGTATAAGAATTATTTTCATCGTGTAAAAGGGAAAATCCAATATTGTTTTCAATATTTGGTAGACAAAATGGAAATAACTTAAATTTCGTTAACTAGTAAATACGATGTATTCTGTTAATAAATCTGTCTGTTAAAATCTGTTTTTACGTTAACCAGCTGTCGCCCCCCTACGAAAGACAACTCTCAAAAGGCAAAACTTGGGCAAGCTAAAGACTAACGAGGTCTTACCTTTTAACGTGTGATTCCTAACGCAGGTTGGACGATAAGAAGTGAAAATCGATCGTCCGGACGTGCGGTTCGAACCACCGTTTCACACAGCGGTTGATTGAGTGAACTGAGCAAATCACTCACGTCATCCCACCAGGCTAACGTCCTATTTTCTCCCTGAATAACCATTTATAGGATTAACAGAAAACTCATATTCAAGATAAACGGTGATTTCGCTGAGAGTTCATTGCTCTGGTTATGATACGTACCTGCTTTCATCTCCAACCAATGACCGTTCTCCACACCGTAGAATAAGTGATCATTGTGTCCGAGAATCATGTGCACTTAAGCAGACGCAATGAGCCAAAGGCTGTCGCCTTTTCCATTTGTCCGGCCAAAAGTTCTACCTTAGTGGGATAACTCGGTATGATCTTAAGATCCGAGAGTAGAGACAACGACATTATTCCACCAAGGACTCTAATAGTCAGAACAATAATCTAATCAATAGTTTATATAGGAAGCCCTTTGAAAAATTTCAAAACAAGATTTTCCGAACATAAAAGAAGTTTTGAACTGAAGAAAACTATATATGCTTGTCATCACAATTTCAACACAGACTAGGACATATTATATACAGAAAATAAAGGACAAAAATTAAACCCGCTGGACTCTCAGGAAATCAAATTTCCTTTCAAAGGACAAAAATGTATTCAATCACCATCGTAAAACTTGATTTCATAAAATATATTCAAGCATA